TTTATTTGTCAATATGTTGTCAAAATCTGTCTTTATTTGTCTTTATTTGTCTAATGTATGTCTTTATTTGTCTTTATTTGTCTGTATTTGTTTTTATTTGTCTTTATTTGTCTTTATTTTGTCAAAATTTGTCAACATTTGGCTGAGCTGCCTCCAAAACCTATATAAATCTAAGTCCCCTATATCTAGGTCGCCGCAACCGGTCAATGACACACCCCTCCATCCAAACCCATTGTCAGCTTGGCAGCAGATTCCAGCTGGGGCCCATGATAGAACCCCTTTTTGGTTTTGCTTATACAGCATCTCGAACTCCCTGGCAGGGGCCCCAGCTCAAAACAGAATCAGCAACACATCTGCACACATTCCAGCTGTCCCTTTCACATGATAAAACTGCTGCATCCTACACAGCAGCACACCCTAATACGTGCAGGGGCACAGCTCAAAACAGAATGAGTGACAGCTGGGCCCAGTGAAAATCACTTGGCTCCCTCCGGCTGCGCTTCGGGAGCCGCCGATTTTTTTGGAGCGGCCTTGCTCTTCGCGGCCGTCTTGGCAAAATGAGTCCTTGAATGTGTTTGCACAGCAAGACCAAGAATGCAAGAACCCGGATGTGTACAAACACATAGCACAACCCAAACCGACTGTAATAACACCGCTTGACGGACCAGGCTGCTTGATCTGCGCATGGTAGCTGCTGAACATAATGCACCTCGTGCATCCGGGTTTTGGGAGGGCTGCTGCCAGAACTGAAACACAATGCCATACGAACCGATTTGATTCTATTTTGATGCATCCGAAGATTTCCGACCGGATCTTCTCCACGAGAGGAGCAAAGCTCTGCTTCCTCAGTAATACTATCAGACAAATGTTTGTTCAACAACTTATCCAGGCCCACACGTAGAACCCGCATATAAGCTTAATGGATAGCCACCCATAACCTGTTTATAACTATCCCCTTTATGAAGTTTGGTGGTCTTCAGAGCCCCAATCGTCGCCTTATGAGGGCCTACACCTACAAAAGGGATGTCTTAATTATTATTATTATATATATACACACACACCTACAATAGCTATATAGGTATATAGATACAGATATATCTGTACATATAGATATAGATATAGATATAGATATAGATATAGAGATATGCATAATAGTATATATATATATATAGAGAGAGAGAGAGAGGGTGAGAAATGCTTCGGTGTTATAGCTTAGATAGGCGGATAGGCGGGGTCTAACAAAATAACAGTAGCAGTCACTAGCATCATTCTGAATAACCGACAGCCGACGAGACATTGCAAAGCTTGCCACGATCCAGCAGCTTTTCTAGCCAGTGCAGCACTACATTTAGCAGCTTAGACAGTTGCAGTGGGTACGGTCTAGCAACCCAGTGAAGATCGACAAAGTTTTGGGGCTTAGAGAGATATTGTTTTGGTTTCGGAGGAAACCCACCCGATTAAAGGTTGTGAAAGCTAGGGTTTTATGTAAGGGTTTGGTTTGGAGTGCCCGGTGCTTTCTCGATAAGTTTACGGACCTGTGGCCAGAAGGCAAAAGGCAACCCCTACATATGTATATATATATATAAAGAAGAAAACTCTAAACAACTAAAATACCAGACGTTATGGCAGGCTGAGAGGCCAAAAAATCCAAATCCTGAAACTGGACAACCCCAGGTAGTCTTTAAATCCCAGAAGCCATAGTATCCCTTGATCGCCCCTCGACATGCTGCTGCGGCTGCTGGTTTCTTTGCTGGCAGAGGCCAGCTAGAGGGCTTTCGGATGTAGGTCGGTTTAGTAGGGATATACAGGAGCTTTTGGTTTTGGGTTGGTTTAATGGGCATACACAGGACTACAAAGTAATCAAGGTATACAGGCTAGTAGGCTCACAGTGTAGGCTAGGAACAAAGCACCGTCGGGGCCGGCTTCGATCTTCGCCAGCTCGTTTAGGAAGGCCCCGAGCTTGTCTTGGTTGGCATACTGTCTAATTCATCTTTGCACACAGACATGCATACGACACTGCTAGCAAGGCACCACCACTTTCGGACAAGGTCTTGAGGTCGTCCCTGCAGCAGCAGGCAGTAAGAATTATCACAAGGCTTGCGTGAAGCATGCAACAAGTATAAGCATAAAGGCCAGGGGCTCATGGCCCTTTGCCCCATCCTTCTCCAGCCGCTCACGTGCACACTTCAAGAGAGCTTTGCGGGAGAGAACCGCGCGTCTGTACTGGCCCAAGTACTCTTGGATCGTTTCCTCACCCTCCACCGCGGGGTACTCGGCCAAGCGCTTCTTGGTCGCGGGGGGCTTGGGCTGATCGGTAGTGCTCTCCCCCTCCAGCTCCTCCATTATGTCTCCTAGCTCGAAGTCACTGGACAGCAGTCCCATCTGCGCCATTTCCTGCTGAAGCTCCTGCAGCTTCTCCTCTGCAGATTCAACATCATCACGAACCAACACCAGGAACTTGCGGATGTTGGGGTCATACAAGTCCTTCCTAAGACGAGCTGCAACTCCATATAGGTGCAGCACACACACATGCATTCACAAATTAGCACAGGGCCGATGGAGTGATCGATTTAGATTACTTATGACCATGGCACTTTGTCAGCTTCTTCTTCTCACAGTGCTTGATAGCACCCTGAATCCTCGACCTTGGTTCTGCAGTCATTGGTTTGCAGTGGTTGCTACTTAAGATATCACGAACACTGTTGTATCCCAGATGCTCCTCCCATTCGAGAGGCGGCTTCCGCATCTCAGCTTCGGTTTTCCAGGAGTAGCCTTGGAGATTCTTTCTCCACTTCACTGTCTTGGTCCGGAAGGTGATGAGGCAATTCAGCTTCGCCTGGTGAGGGTTTAGGGTTTATAAGGTTTAGGGTTTATAGGGTTTATAGTAGGGCTCATAATAGGGTTTATAGGGTTTATAATAGGGTTTAGGAGGCTAGGAAGCCAACCTTAAGATTTCCGGGAAGGACCCTCAACCCCTGCAAACAAACAGCACATTTGATTGTCTGATGGGGGGCTCTGGCTCCCTCGGGTAGATCTGCACATGTCCCACACAAGAAAAACACACAAACCCTTGTAGAATAGATACTATGAACACAAATTAGCGGGCTGGATGGGTTCTAGGATGGCCCAAGAACTATGATAACCACTCCCAGCAGGCTGCCTCTATGGTGCTTTGCAACAGATGCAGGTACATGGGCTTCTGCGAGTTCAGGGTTCGTTTCAGGATTTCAGAAGAGCTTTGTGTGGCATCAAAGAGGGTTTATAGCTTAAGTAGGGTTTGGGGGTTTTATAGGGTTTAGAACTGTTCTGGGAGGGTTTAGGGTGTGAACCCACATTCTGGGAGGGTGTACAGCCGGCGTGAAGCCACTAAGCCCCTAACCTTATACTACCTTGTATAAGTCTGTATGCAGAATTAGAAGTCAACACTGCCCTGACCCTCTACAAACTCCAGCCGGCAGCCTTGTGAACACTCGCATCTCCCCCGGGGATATAGCATCTGCCAATGAAGTCCCGGAGCAGGTTCTGCCGCTGGAATTCTCCTTGCATAGAGGGCTACCGCATTCAACCCCATACCCTGGCATCTCGATGATCCTGTATTATGAACAATGTAGTGTTGGCAAAGTTTCGGCCTCACGGTTCATTGGTTTGCAAGCTTGTCCGGGTTTCAAGTCGGGCCTGAAAGGCTTTGTAGTTCCAACCCCCATTATCAACCCTCAACCCTATAATTAATATACTTCGATCTTGACCACTCTTCAGCACACACTGAAACAACCGAGTTTTGTGTAAACTCGGCTGTTTTGCTATCCACCTAAACCGCCTAAATCCCTACCTAAACCCTAAACCCCCAAGCATCCCTAAGCCGTTCTGGGTGCCGGGTGCTGCTACGATGTAAGCTTCTGCCTAATATTGATCCGAGGTTTCTTCGTTTCCAGTACAATGTAGTAATCGGCTAAATAGAGATGTACCTTATGAATCATTGATCTGCACAAACCAGACCTTAAGCGCAATTTTCGATGAAGCAGGTCGGCGCTGGGTAGCATTAGGATAGTATATAGCCCGAGAAACATGTTCTAGGGTTTGATATATGTATATATAAAGAGAAAAATATATACAGGGATATACAACTAAAAGGGCTATGTGAGGTTAAGAAGGGGTTTTTTGTAGCACAGGGGTCAACTAAACTAGCACACGAATCATATGTAGATTGGTGTATTTATATATGTCTCTGTGTGTGCATATAGAACTGTGTGGGAATGTGTATGTATGTGCGTATGAACATGCCATGCCCCATTATAAGTATACCACAATGATCTACAACACAAGACTCCTGCATCCCACGCTTGGCGGATCTCTGGCATGCAATCCGGTGCCTTCGAGATCCGGTACAAAGCCCCCCATGCAGCTGGATGGGTGGAGGAGTTGAACGGTCCAGAACCGATCCCCTGTAGGGGGGGCTGGGCAGCAGGATTGATGGTCTGCACAGCGAGCTGGGTCTGGGTAGGAGGACTGCTGGTCTGCACAGCGAGCTGGGTCTGGCCAGGAGGACTGTTGGTCTGCACAGCCTGCTGGGTGTGGGGGGTGGTCGGAGGCGGAGCCTGCTGAGTGGGGGTAGCAACGGCCACCGGGGCAGGGGCGGCCACAGAGGGCTTTGGCAGAGCATGCTGGCCTGTCTGGGGCCCGGGCGTTTGGCTTTCCATTTTTGCACGAAGCTTTGCTTTCACATCATGAGCATCTGGCTTGGGTGGAGCACACAGGGCATCTTTCGGCGTGGGTGCAGGATTCGGGACTCGTTCGGCCTCCGCTTTGGCCGCTGAGGCTTGCTCGATGAGCAAGCAAAGGTTGTGCTCGTGATGGTCCTTCTCCTCCTGCATGCTGGCCTCATGTTCGGCTCGTTGCACCATCAGCTGCTGTTCCTGCTTCTCCTGCTCGGCTTGAAGCGCCATCTCATGTTGCGTCCTTGCATCCGCAAGGGCCTGCTGATGCTGAATCAGCTCCTGTTGCATTTGTGCTCGTAGCTTGCTCATCTGCTCCTCTATGTACTTCTCCAGGGAAGCACGTTCTTCCTTCATCCTCTTGCTATGTCCAGCATGCTCATCATCCTCGATTGGACGCTTCTTTGAAGCATCCACAGCATGGTCCACGCGTCCGCCCGGCAGAATCTGCGTCGTTTCGGTTGTAGTGCTTCCACCACAACTCCCACTGGAGAAACCTTTGTTGTTTGGGCACAAGCATCAAAATGGACATGTGGCCAAAATTGTTACGAGAACTGCTGGAGCACAAATCTGGATCAGCCACAGAACCGCGCTTCAGTGCTCCCTGTGTACGAAGGTACTCTTCCTTCAGAGCTTTCGAATCAGGCGTGTCGCCCAAACTCTTCCACAGCTCAGCCGGCTCGGGCGAGAGGCCCAAGAACCGATCATCATCATCAGGCATTTCAGCCTTCTCGACCTGCTGGAATCAAACCGAAGGTGTTGGAATGGAAAGTCAACACACAAGCGGATCAATTTAAGTTTCTGAATCCCCAGCCCACCGCCTTCACCTTGGTGGGTGTGGCAATGTCACTTTGCTTCTGCAGGTAGCTCATCCCGCGGTACAAAGACTCACACGACGACATGCGGTGCACCACCGTGGCCCGGAAAAAAAAGGCAGCTTAGACTGATCCCCCACGGATACACATGTATACATAGTGTACGTATGACACACACACACACAGACACACATATGATGCATCTTGCACATCCCGTGCAGGTCCTTTGCTGCTCGCTCGAGCAAAGCCGTGGGAGGAGGTTCAATACATTATAAGAATAAGCTTACATAGGCAGGGGTTTGGTTTAATGTAGCTATATACCCTATATGCACAGTCTGGACTGTGCCGTTTGGGGATGAAAATTTCTTACAGTGCCTATAGATGTCTTAAAAGACTATAGAATGAACTAGTATATGCCTATCTCAACAGCGATCGATTAGGGCTGCATTGGCTTCCCCTATAGGGCTTGTTTGGCTCAGGGTTCCACCGGAAGCAAGACATTCTAAGTGGTGTATATATGTACATGTTAGATTTCAGAGGTACAAGGGCTTCATTTAAGGGCTTGGATGTTTCTATGGACAAGTCTCTTCTTGCATACCAAGTACAGTCCCAGTTTTACATGCATTGGGTTCTCAGACACACCCATAGAAACTATGTAGCCCTTGCACAAGGCTTGCATAAGCTTTATGGTTCTTACCGGTCTAGGAGTTTCTTTTGGGTCATTACACTTCTTGGATTCCATGATCCACCTAGGCTTTGGAGATCTAGAACTATAATGCGGTATTGCACATGTACACTTTGAGGGTTTGGGCGGTCTGGAGCATCGGGTGCACAAGCTCAGTTGATGGAGAGTGCCACTGATCGAGCTACTGGCCCGGCTTGGGGCTCTGGCTGGCGCCGAAACAACATGTGGGCTGACACGATTGACATGCGGCCGACACGGTTGACATGTTCAGGATCGAACTCCACAAGACCCTTCGGCTGTCACAAGTTTGCATGATGCTGACTCCGATTCTGCAGCAGCGGGAGCAAGGAGCTAACAGCACATGCAGTGACACTGACTCTGGTTCTGCAACCGCGGGAGCAGGAAGCTCAAGGACGGCATGCCACAACTCACGGCTTGACGGAACTGTTGCCGCCCCCCCTCCTCCCCCCCCTCCCCTCTCCCTCCCGACAAAAAGCCGAAGTAGGCCTCCGACTGCCCTAAACCCCGATTTTCAAGGCCTGCAAACCTGAATAAGACCCCATCTATCCCTATAGAACCCAATTGAATGAGTTTTTAGCTCCTTGCTGGTTGTACTTTAGATAAATTAAAACATGGTTCCAATGGTCGGTTCGATCTGGCTTAGATACATGTGTGCTTGGTAATACCTATTGCGGCGACTTCGGATCGGAGATACTTAGGGTTGCGGTTGGGCTCCATTTGAGGCATAGGGGACTTCTTTAAGGAACTTCTCAGCTCAACCCTATCATTTTATCCAAACCTTGACAAAGCAGGCTAGTGGGGACTTATAATTAGAACTCCAAGGCCGGTGTTGGCCATTATTGTTCCAGCCCTGAAAGCCACTAGAAACATGTAAGGCAAGAGCCCTTACAAGCATATAATCATAATCCTCGGCCCTCTACTTAAACCACAGCCGTCTACGACCGACCTAGACAATCCTGGACCCACTATAAGCTCGTAAGATAACACGAGCGAGTCTTGGAGCACCCATTATAAGTAGCTGCACACCCAAAAAAAGCAATAAACATCTAACACTATAAGCCCATTATGCTAAACACCAAGACAAACCCTCTGATTGCCAGGGCGACCATGGTGTGGCAGGATCTGGGCCTATCTGGGCGGGGTCTAGATTTATCTTATAGGGTTTGCATAAATATAGAATATATTACGGGTCTGGTGGCTATATATACATAAACCAGAACAGAGAGTGTATATATATATATGTATATGCAGTATATAACATATATATATACACATGAATATATATATATATATATATACATACACTCTCTGTTCTGGTTTACTAATCGCTCAAGGCTCAAGGTGTTTGGGCTTATGGATTGCGCTGTACAGGGCTGGGTGGGTGGGCAAGCCAAATTGCCCAGCATAAGCTGCCTCTTATAGCCTATATACCCTTATAAGCCCTATAAACCCTTAGCCTAAACCCCCTTTTTTCCTTTCCTTGATAACCCTATGTAAGCCCAAAACCCCTAACCCCAAAGACCCTTTGGTGTAGTGTGGTCTGAGGATATTAGGGTCGTAACCCGGGCCCATAAAGGCTCTGCTGCACGAAGGCTCTGAAGCTTCCCACAAACCCCAACACTCTTAGGGCTTTAGGGCTTTAGGGGTGTTTAGGGTTTTCCTTAGGGTTTATAGGGCTCCAGGGCTTTAGGGTTTTGGGGCTTTTGGGGTTTATAGGGGTTTGTAAGGGTAGGACCTTGGAAAGAGGCTTCTATAGGGTTTGGCAGTTGTGGCTTGGTAGTTTAAGGCTTTGGGGTTTTCAGCTCTAGGGAGCTATAGGGCTTTCGAAGTCTGGATTCCACACCCCCAAGAAACCAAAATCAATTAGTACAGCTGAAGAAAGGCCTAGCACGGCATAGATCTGCTATAGCCCCTGTATGGAGTCTGGGTAGGCCCGCCTAGTACTTCACAGCGTTCTGTGGTTATCTCGAGCAGAAAGGAAGATCCTATCCTATATCCTATAAAATGTAAAGAAACCACAAGCTTCCAGCAGTTGTTCTGTAGCTCCTGGTACATGCAGGACAACATCTACAACTATCTACAGCTGTACACTAAATCCTGTTCTGGCCCCTAGAGCAACCATGTCCCTATTTCGGGTTCGCGGAGTTGTTATGTACATGTAATGACATATATCATATCTTCTGCCTATGCGGACACCCGAATTCCCTGGACCTGGAGTAAACACACAGGGAGGGCGGTAGCACCCGAGGAAGCCGATGTCGAGGGCAGTGCTTCATCTCCTGCAATGAGAAGGGTTGGTCGGTTTGTCTGGGTTGATTACACAGTTACATATCCACTTCCAATTAAGAAATTGGTTTTGCTTGCTTTGTAGCAAAGGCAAGCAGGGGGATTGCAGAAATTGGTAAAACCAATTTCCGAAGAGTGCGAGGGGTGGCCGTAGATTTTCCGTTGCATTCTTGCGCATTCTGTTGCTTTTTTTTGGTTTTCTGGTGGTTTTTTTTGGTTTTCCGTTGCCATTCCGTTGCAGGGTTTTTCTGGGTCGGGCACGCATTTTTTGGTTTTTTTCAGGCTTCGGTCTGGTGGGCATGTGTTTTTTTGGTTTTTTCCAGGTTTCGGTCTGGTGGGCATGTGTTTTCTGGTTTTTTTCAGCCTTCTGTCTGGTGGCAGGTGTGTTTTTTTGGTTGTTTGGGGTTTTTATTGGGTTTCTAGGCATGTATTCACGTAGAAACTTCTAAGAACAAGAAACCCAACCCACCCTCCAAAACAAAACAAAAAACCTATCCTGGATTTGGGCACTGGTGGCCCAAACCCGGGTTCTCGGCTCGAGAAGAAGGCCTTGCACACCAAACCATCCCCCTCCTGTGTTGGTTCTTATAGCAGGGAATGGAGGAATGGGTTGTGGGGACTACAAAAGGGTACCTTGAGGGACTATCATAGGGACCCATTCCCCCATTCCCTACTGGGATACAGAATGTGGGTAGTTCCCTAAGGTATCCTTATAAGGTTCCTTTGTAAAAAGGGTGCCGTACTATTTTGGGGACCCAAAAAGGAACCCCAAATTTAGAGAACTACCCATATAACCTCAAGCTACCAAGACCTACCCCTTTTTCTAGAGTCCCCTGTAGACTTCCTTACATGGGGCTCACACAAAGAACCTACAAAAGTGGCAGGTTTATAGTACCTTATAAACTAGGGTTCTAGGATTCGCATTTTCAGGTGTCAGGTTTCGAGATTCACGGTTCTAGGGCGCAGGGCTCAAGAGCTTCGGGCTTCACGGGTGTTGGGGGCACATCTGAAGCCTGTTCTCTCCCCTATCCAAAACCCTATTGGGGTTTTATAAGAGGGTTAGGGTTTATAATATAATAGGGGTTCGCTTGTGGATCCGAAACCGATATTTCTAGGCCCTACACCCAAAGCCAAACATGTTGAAGGCCCTGAATCTGCTGCAAGGATCCTATGTTACGGGTAGAGCGACGCTTCTTAGCGGGATACCGAAAAACGTGAGATCTTTTCAGGCACACCCCTGCAAGCTTGCAAGATCAAGCTCATCGTAGTAATTGGCGTGCAAACTAGAACACACAAAATATGGCTCCAACCACAGCACGGCTGTGGCTCCAGCCACTGCTGGCTATGGCTCCTACCACAGCATTACCTAGACTCGAGCGATGCCCAGTGCAACCTTAATTGCCTCAGACAACTTGATGCTTTGGCTTCTCAGTAGGTAGCACACGACATCATCCAACGAGGCATCCTCCATCCAGTACTTGGAAGCATTATCTTCGTAGTAGTGCTGGGCTCCAAGTAGCAGCTCCATAGATGCATCTTCGGGAACAGCCTTTCAGCGGTCTGAAGGAAACCTTGCCCCCCTAAACGGTCTATCATAAACCCTGTAGGAAGAACCCTATGAATACCGATCGATATACCCTGTATAATGTGTAGATACCTATGGCTCCTGGTTCGCATAGCAATCATATATATATATACATATGTAT